CAAAAAAATTGTGTACTGTGTGAGGAGGAATAATCACCCAAAGGAGAACATGGGAATAACCATTATCAGATTGAACTAGTACATAAGATTTTTGTAAAACTAGTATGTATTTGAATATTTTGCCTAGATTGCGTAGTATTCAATATTTTGAACGTGATGCTTTATGATCTGACAAACTAGATAAAGCATGGCAAAAACAACAAATAGTATATGGAGCAGCAAAACAATCAGTCATGTTTCAGTAGTTCTTTCCGTTTCCTGGAGTCGATATATTAAGGATTTCACTACAAATCAGATGGCAGAGTTTTTAGCATCGCAAATCAAATGCTTGAGATGACAAATTATGTTGTCACGAGGATGATAGTTTCATTTAACAAGCATGACACATATTTGTCAACTTCAGTTTTTTGTCAGGGATCGCAATGCTTACTAAAAAAAATTGTCATCCTGACGAAAAAATGATTTGCCATAAAAAACATTCGATTTGTCATGCTTAAAATCTGACATCAGAAGCATTTCTGCATACTATTAATTGATTGGATAGTAATGGATTAAATCTCTTCTGTTTGTATAACACTCCAAGCATAGTATATTGTTGTAAGAACAGGAGGCGGCGCGGGACGATGGCGCAGCCGGCATCGGTGCAACGGCTCAGCGGTGGCGAGGACGTTAGTGCAGCCGTGCAGAACGTCGGGACGCTGCGAAGAACCGCAGAAGACGATGCGGTGGCGCAAACCCTGCACCAATTCAGCTGACTTGGGCTGTCTGCATGGGATTTGAGTGGGTTTTTTTGTAATATTTGAGTGGTTTATAGAGCGATAGAAATAGGTGGGCCGTCCCCGGGCCCAACCAGCGAACTAATACCTAACAGCTTTTGCAATAATTGTTTCTATTTTTCTTCTTTTTTGGTCATTTTGCTTTTGTTTTATTTTTATTGCTGTTCGCATACGAACACGTCGCCGTGTACCCTCGACGCTGGGGATGATGCATCGCAGCTCATGCCTAAGGAGACCCGGCCGGAAGCGCGGTATGCAAGCAATCTGACGGGTGCTTTTGAGCAACCGAAACCTCACACGCCCGGGAGGGACCCCGTCTGGGCTCGTGGTGGCTATGGGCTACGCTGGGTCGACCTGCTCGCCACTAGGGCCTCGAGGTTCGCCGCCCTGCAACAAGAAGAACAGACGAAGAACGAGCAAGAAAAAGAACTAGGATTAAAGAGAAAACATAAAAGATAAAAAGTGGTACATGATTTGATCGATGTGTGTTGTTCAATCGGCCGTCACCCCTTAGGTATAAAAGAGGCGGATTGACTTCCCGTACAAGAAAAAGACTCCAAATCACGTCCAAATCACATTCAAATCTTTCCAAAATTAACCGAACTCGGATTTAGGTAAGTATGGAACATCAGTTTGTTTTTTAGGTCCCACGGGCTACAAACAAGTTCGGATGAAGATGAGCCCAAAGAAAATTTGACCGTTTCGACGAGGCGAACAACTTTCGTGTTGAACGGTTTTTGATTTGAGGTTGTCTTCAGGGCAGAATCGCTCGTGCAAAACGGACTTTTACTCGCGCTACCCATCAGACACCGTGTCTGATGGGGCGCCCCACTTTTGCCCCGTGACAAGGCCGCACTCAGGTGGCTGTCACTTTTAAGTACGATCTTGGGTTGATACGATTTTTATATCAAAATCAATCGTTTCGACGAGACAAAGACAATTCATTTAAAAAGTTTTCTCATATGAGGCCATCCTCGGGGCGTAATCAGCCGAATAGTGTTCTTGATACAAAATTTCAGTACTTCGAACACAACTTCAGCCTTAGTGATGAGATCGGATGGCTATGGCCTAAATATCAAAGTTTCTCCTTTTGACGATACGGAACATTCTCACTTTGAACACTTTTCTATTTGAGGTCTTCTTAATTATGTTTTCAACCATGCCAAAATCTGATGTCAACACATGGCCCTCCATTTTTCGGCAAAACTTGCGTGCCAAAAAATAACTTGCACAATGCTATTTCTAAGGACGATGTCAACACTTCATCGGCCTTTGTACGTGCTTAGGACGATAAGTATATATCGACCATTTAAATTATCAACAGAAGTGAAGCTAATCAAACATATGATGATTTGGTAATACCCTTTCATGATGTAAGAAATTATATTTCATCCATGGATTGAAATAAGCCCATTGACGGTAATCAATCATACCTGATGACGAATTCCATGGCATAGGCATCAATAATATTGTTGAAGAAAATGGATAATGTATGGACCGAAGATGTTGACACCTTTGGCTTGGTCATTCGTAGTTTTCACTCTTTTCCATCTTCACCTTTGCCGCACTCCTTGTAAAGGAAGCTCACACATAATTCTTATTTTGAATACTTCCTTTGGGAACCCATGCCATGTTTCTCTTTTCAAGTTCTTGTGCACTAAGCTTTTGCAATTTCTTCTTTTGCCAATACGATAAGCCGAGTGGGCACCCCGGCTGCGATTTTGTTTGAAGTAACTGCAATTCTTATTTTACCTTGTGCAATCTCAACTTCTTCCCTTTAGATTTGGGACTTGATTGACTTGCCTCATTGCCTTTTGTAGCCAATGTCAACACTTTAATTGGCTCTTTTTCATTTGAGATCATATCTGAGGTGGCACTCTTACGACCATCTCTTTTGACGCGGTAGACTTGCTCAACCACCTCCTTATTCTACCTTGTGGTCTGGGCCGATTCTTTTTGAAACGGTCTTGAACATATGACTGCTCATTGAACGTTGGTCTTCATGGAGATGCAT